AATAACTTGGTAGTTATCTAATGTTCTTCCTCATTTGCCACATTCAAAAAAGAAGAATACTAATTGAAAGGAAAGTGAAGAAGCTGATAAGAGAGATATAGGTCTTTACTAGGGAGAGGAGACCTGAAAGGGACCCTCGGCCATCAGAGTAGCACTCTGAGAGAGGTGAGAGCACACCTTTCTTAAAGGCTGGGGATTTTAAGCATCCTGTGGTGGGAAAAGGGAGATTGGGGGGGGGTGGGCACTAGGTAAGATGTTTAGGAAGGAGAGTGGGGGAGGTGCTGGACATTTACAGGAAGGTCACTGGGGTCAGGCAGTTATGTATGTTGTTTTCCCAACATTCCAGCATTTGCATTGTTTCAGTATTTCTCAACATTCCAGCACTGATAAATGCAGCCTTGAAGGGTTATACATGATAATGGAAACCCTAGAAAGTTAGAGATGCTAGATGTGTGCATCTGTAGGTAACAAGTAGAGCCAGCCCAGGAGAGAGGCCATGTGGGCTGCAAATGGCAAAAATATAGGGGCAGGGCTGCCCAAACTCATTGGAGCTCACAGCATGAGACCACACACCCCAGGTACCAGACTTAGAGCTACAGGATTTGGTGTTTGTCCTGCTGGGTTTGCTTTGGTTTCACTCCCCATTTCTTTGCCCCGTTCCTCCTGATGGCATGGGGATGTTTACTCTGTGCCATTGTGTGTTGAAAGTATGTAAATTGATTTTTGATTTTACAGGGACTCACAGCTAAGAGACTGGCTTAAATCTCAGTAGAGACTCTGGCTTAGACTTTTGAACAATGTTGGAACTGTTAAGACTTTGGGGACTCTTGGATATGGACTAAATACATTTTGCATTATGAGATGACTAGGAGCTTTTGGGGACTAGGAATGTAATGTTATGGTTTGAATGTGAAATATCCCCCGTGGGCTCATGTGATGAGTGTTTGCTGTCCAGCTGGTGGAGCTATGGGGAGATTGTTGAAACTTTAGGAGATGGGGCCTCACTGGAGGTAGTAGGTCACTGGGAGCATGCCTTTGAAGGTTGTACTTGATCCCTGGTCCCTTCCTTGCTCTCTGTTTCCTGTCTGCCATGCGGTAAGAATCTCCCCTACCATACACTCCCACCACCATCATGTTCTGCCAGGCACATGATGCCAGGCACAGCTATGAATTGAGCCCTCTGAAGCTGTGAACCAAAATAAGTTCTTTCTGTCTCAGGTTGTTTATGTGAGGTATTTTGTCACAGCAACGAGAAAAGTAACTGATACAGTCCTTATGATAATTTGTGAAGCAAAGACCAAAGCACTGGGAATACAAACGAAAAAAAGTCATGAATTAATTAAATGTTAAATTATCTGGTAATTGATAACAATATGACTGTAATTTACAGGAAAATATGAGTAACGTGGATTAGCTAATTTAGGATTTTCAAGAAAGGAGGTTAAAAATGAACTAACATCTTCAAGAATTTTCATGGATAGAAAAGATTCAGAGAAGGTTCTGGGAGGCTGGGACCATATGAGTAAATCACAGAAATGAAAATAAAGACAAACACTAGGTGATACTCATTTTCATATTGCATGAAGGATGGGCCAAACTGTAGTCTGCAAATGGTTGTTGACTTTAGTAGAAATAAGGAATCAATAAATGAGAGTCTGGGTCAGGGTGATACTAGGGATAGAGAAGCAGGGACATGGGAAGTAGACAATTTGAAGATGGAACCAGTAGGACTTAACAGCCCTTACCGTAGGTTTAATCCCTTAAAATTTTCAAAGTGATTTCACATGTACTGTGTTGTGGCCTGGTATTCCTTCTCATAACAGTACACAGAATCTGTGCCAGGTTCATCAGTGGTACTTAGCCCATCATCCCCTTAACCAACATCCCTTGCTATGAGTAGTATTTTAATGGCCCCATTTCTTTCCTCAAATGAAGGTCACTGCTGATTTATTTGTACACATATTTTTTAATATATCAGCATCATGCTTTTCTGTAATTCAAAAAAAATGTCAAAGAATGTGGTTAATATTAAAATATATTTCAACATGGAAAAGCTCAGATGTGACTAGACCAGAAGACATAGTGATGTAGTCAGATAAACTTATACATAGAGTGTGATGGCTGCAAATACAGACCAGACAGATGTGTGTCAACAAGTCAAATGGCATGACCTGTGGTGATGTAGTTGTCTAAATGGTAGGCGATGCTGCGTAAAGTTCCAGAAAGAACAAAGTATGTCTAGTCCACAGTCTTCCCTCAGTTATTCAGTACTTTGCTTTCCTAAGAATTCAGAGTATATATAAACCATGAAAAAATACATGGATATATGTGTGAAACAGAGACCACTTGTATACCCAAGTGATTTTATCAATTTTTTTTTTCAGTGCTGGAAATCAAACCCAGGTCCTTGTGCATGGTAGGCAAGAGCTCTGCCACTGAGCTGTCCCTTATTCCTCCACACTCAAGTGATTTTCAGCAGATTTTTCATCTCCCTATCACTACCACAATCATGAGTGGCCTCATAGGGAGTTTCCCCTGGCCACTAAGAACCACCAGCTCTAAGGTGGTGGCTGCTAACTCTAGGATGGTGACACACAAGGAAGCTGGGAGGCGAGAATTTGGATGTAGAGACCAGTAGACATGTTGGCTGCAGTGTGTTTTCTCTCCCAGCCAAGGGTGGCTTGCACCATCTTAAATACTATAAATCTGGCTTTTCCAGCCTGGTAACAGTGTCAAGTTTTGAACACAAGTAGAAAATAAAATTAGGAAAATAGATGACATTTTGTAGAGAATAAAAAGTGCAAATCCTTTTTGGCTTATTTACATGAAGGGCCAGCAAAGCCATTCCAATTCCTTGAACTCAATGTTGGCTCATTGGTAGGTGTGTACTGTACCTCAGGAATGTTGGAGCCATCTAGTTCTAACATGAATCTTTGAAACTGTTTTGAAATTTAATTCTTCCTTTCCTTTAAACTACAGGCATGATCTCATCCAGTTTTGTAAAGTATGTAATAATGGCTAATCCCTCTTGGCATTTGTACTGTGCACATAGAAGGTCTTGAGCAGATGTGCATGATTGTTCAGTATTAGTGCCCTGCAGGTTGCCTTCTGCTCAGGAGTCTTAAGACAAACAAATCCAAAGGGCTTGATCCACTTAGAGCACTTCCCAGAGGATTTGGGGCCTTGGCTTTTCATTTAATGACAATACCACACATGGCTGTCTTTCACAAATATGGGTGTGCTATATCTAATTTGGAAATAGTCATTTAGGCCAAAGACACTTCAAATGCATGCCAAATTATAATCTTCTAAGAGCACAAATCTGTTTGCAGCTTTATTTTGGACTGAGGTTATTCATTTGCTATTAGATACCTGCTATTCACAGGGTAGCAGGTTAGACAGTGTGAGGAAATCAGAAGTAGACTAGACCCTTTACCCTCAATGAGTCCATTGTCCAGTAAGGATGATAAAACCTCAGATGTTATTGAGAGTAAGTGGGGAGCCATTGGAAAGTAAGATGGAACACTGATGGAGCTTGTATGGATGAAAAGTACTTTTCTCTGGAAGAGGGATATTTCTTAACTTGAGGACCTTAAAGATTCATTAACGTTTAGACTTTTGATAAGTGGCTTTCTGAGCCAAAGTAAATGTTAGCAGGATTTTTTGTGTTTTCACTTGATGGGAAGTATGCCTTCTCACCACTTAATAATATGCATTCTCTAATTATTGTCTGTGTGTAATAACTGAGTGACTGGATAACTGGTAATAATTACCATAAGGAAATCTCATTCAGTGTTGCTGCTTTTCTGGGAAAAAAGTTCTCTAAATTAAAAGCTGAATCTTTTTTTCTTTTTTCTATTGAAGAAATCTCTTTTGCAGCTGAGATACCACTGTGATATTTCAAAACTCTGGGTTTTGAAATGAAAGGGGATCTGATAGATGGCAAACAGCTCTGTCAAGATCATTACAGAAAGAGTGCAATTGCTAATGCAGGAAAGAGTTCTTGTTGCCAGAAGAACATACATTGAACTTGAGGACAACCTGGAGATGAGCCACAGGGCACTGCTGTTGGTTTCTATGCACTCCCCAATTGGCCATCTGTGTCTGGCGCCTGAGTCTCACTGCCCCTGGTTCCTGGTGCTGCGCCAGACTTACTCTGTATTGCCTGGCACCTCCAGTCTCTGGCTCCAGTCTCTGGCCTCTGCCTCTAGGCTAGAGAGCTGACTTGGAGCATGGAATCAACATGAAATCTTGGGCCAAATAAGGGGGAGGGAGGAAACCTAGTTCTGGGAGAAAAAAAAGGATGGAGATACTTGTTACCAGACCACTTTTTGATGCTTCTAGATTTCCCCTGCTTAAAATAACTAGAATTTGAAGGTGGTTAATTATCAACAAAATCATTATTTCAGCCAAATTATCATGCTTACCAACTTGCATTTTGTCATAATGTTCAGCTAATTTTTAAGGCAACCCCAACACAGAGGGGGACGGAGGAAGAGAGGGGGAAGAGAGCACTTCTTGAGCTCTGTAGGTTTTTTTTTTTTTGTGGTACTGGGGATTGAACCCAGGGCCTTGTGCATGCTAGGCAAACATTAAACCACTGAGCTATATCCCAGCCCTGTCTGTAGCTTTTGGTTGACATTCAGAATGAAGTCTAGTGAGTGAACAGTAACTGTGTGATGATGTCAAGGTGAACAAAAATAGAACCTGCAGTAAAATCTTTCTCTTTAGCTGTGGTTGTCAAGGTTCAAACACCAAAAGAGAAACAGTTCCTTCCAAAGCAGAGCTTAAAAAAAAAAATCAAATTTGATGCCAGTCAAGTGCAACATTAAATCTATAAAGTCCAGGGATTATATGGAAATTAAATTTGAATTTCTTCTTCCCAAAAAACCCCACCAGGCTCTCCATCTTAGATGGGTTTTCTGGCAGCATGAAATTCTTCTTAATGTTACTGTGTTTTTAAAAAGATAGACATTTAGCATGGACTCTTGTTGGAACAGGACAGCTGGGAAGTGGTGGAAGGACTGAGGGGAGAGATGAATTACACCCAGGAGCCACCTGTGCAGAAAGGATTTTTGCTGAAAAAGAGGAAATGGCCCTTAAAAGGCTGGCACAAGGTAAGACATTGGCATTGGACTCCCCTTTATGGGTACCTGCTTTGTCCCACTCAGTACCCCATTCTTGGGCACTCAAGTTTGATTGAAGTTGAATTTTTTTTTTTTTTGGCGGTACTGGGGCTTGAACTCAGGGACTCGGACTTGCTAGGCAGGTGCTCTACCACTTGAGCCATACCTCAGCCCTTTTTGCTTCAGTTATTTTTCAGATAAGATGTTATGTTTTTGCCCAGGCCTGCCTGGTCTGTGATCCTTCTACCTATACCTCCTGTGTAGCTGTGATCACAGCTGCATTTCACCACAACTAGCTTATGGATTGAGATGGGGTCTTGTAAACTACTTGTCTGGGCTGGCCTCGAAATGTGATCCTCTCCATCACCACTCCCTGAGTAGTTGGGAGTAAAGGCATGCTCAGCTGAAATTTGAGACCAAGTGAGAGATGTTTCAATGGAGCATCATAATGAATTATACCTGTTCCCCGCAGAGATTCTTCTACCTGGACAAAGGAATCTTGAAATATGCCAAGAGCCAAACTGACGTAAGTTTTCTTGTTGGTCCAATATACTGTGAAAGAGTTCTGCAGGGGTACTTGCTGTAAGATCAAGGGTGAGATTGTGTGTAGTCCAGGGCCACAGTTCTCTGAGGATAAGGTTTCCCACATTGGGCAGAGGTACTTGCTTCTCACTGTCCCAGCTGTGGCTTCTAGGTGGGTTCAGTTCTCCCACCAGGGGTCAGTGCAGGGCTCCTTCAACACTCCACTGGGTATCCATTGGTCTTTTCTGGCCTTATGGTTGCACTGAGGGGTTCTCTGGATGGAAACATCTAATAACAGGAACAAAGCACAGGACAAGTGACATGCCCACTCTTACAGTGACTGAGGTGCTTGGCCAAGGAAAGCTTCCCCTTGGAGTAAACACTAGGAAGTCAATCTGTGGGGGCTCTGAGTGACAGGTAGGCCTACCTCGTAGGGTCTTCCTCTCCTCTTTTCCTTTCCTCTTATCCTACCTTAGCCTTCTGCCCATGCTCCTCCTTTTAAGTCACTTCTGAATGACTTTAGACACCAGACACTAAGTCAGTAGGAAGCGAATGCATTGCCATGGGAGTCACCCTGTGAGGTTCACTCTTGTTTCCTCGTGTCAAGGCTGTGAAAACTGTTCATTACTTAGCTTCTCTGCACCTCTGTCTTCTCATCTGTGAAATGGGGGACAGTACTGTGTACCTCACAGAATGCAGACTCAATGCTTCGTGTTGGTGGATGTGGAAGGTGAGGGAGGATGGGATAGGGAGGGATGTTATTAGTACTTCACCACTGTGGTTCTCAAGCAGCCCTCTTTATGGCTCTGCAGATCGAGAGGGAGAAGCTGCATGGCTGCATTGACGTGGGGCTGTCGGTGATGTCTGTAAAGAAGTCTTCCAAGTGCATAGATCTTGACACTGAAGAGCACATCTACCACCTGAAGGTGAGCGTGCTGCCCAGGGGCTCTCTCCGAGCCCCTTGAGATTTTATTTTGTTTGTTTGAAATGTTGCCCACACTGGACTTGAACTCCTGGGATCAAGTGGTCCTCTTGCCTTGGCCTCCTGAATAGCTGGGGCTCCAAGTGTGCAGCACGACCCCCGACTCCCTTGATGTTGACGAGGGACGGTCAGTTATTACGCTGTTGGTGATGCCTCTTAGACATCTGGCAACTTGTAGAAGGTCTTCATCACCAATGTGTCCCTAAGGACAGTGTTGATACTAGGATGGGACAGTTCTTCAAATGCAGGACTGGCTCTTACACTGCATGTAGGTATCATGTCCTTGTCGCCTCATCCCTCAAATTTTACTACCCCTCCTCCCCAGTGACTGTGACAACAATCGATAACAAATAACATCTTCATGTTCCCAGGTCACCCTGCAGGCAGTGGCATCTTTAGCAAAGAATCATTTATCATATGTTAAAATACACTGTCTGAAATATTTAGTATGTGGAGCCATCTTGCAACTGCAGCTAATTTTATAGGGATTCTGGCAAAGTTCTCTTAGTGAAATGTTAGGAATTTTTTCCCTATAGGAGAAGTCTGCAAATAGTACCTCTCAGTGAAGTTTACCATCTTGTTCTCTCTCTCTCTTATGGATGATATAGCAAGTTAAAAGCACAAAGCTTGAGGATGAGAACTAGATGAAATTTTGCAAGGCTACTAACTTGCTGTTAAACATTGACCAATCATTGAATCTCTGAAAGTCTCAGTTTTCTCCTCCTCAAAGCATGGAAGAAAGAAAAAATTACTGCAGTGCTCATTTTTCGGGCTGCATATGAAAAACTTGGCATAATGCCCGTCCCAAATACACTCAGTAAGTTTAGTTCCTGTTTATGATTCTTACGTGGTCTCTGAATATCAGGAATTAAATGAGAAAATGCTAAGACTCTTTTCTTGTTTGGGAAAACTACTTAGGATTTAGGGAATAGAGGCTGAAGGCTGGGGAAATAAAAACACGAGACTGTAAATTCCAGGTTTTAACATGTCCCTGTCCTCTGTAGCATGTGTGTAGTGATAAACACGGTTTCCCATGTACATGTGGATGACTGACTGGCTAGATAGTCAGACGCATACTGCCTTCTAGTTTAACCCTGAACCTCTAGGTTATGTAAAGCAGGGTTTCAGGCCCAGCATGGTGGTACGTGTCTGTAATCCCTGCACTAGGGATGTTGAGGCAAGAGGATTGCAAGTTTGAAGCCAGCGTGAACTACATACCCTGTTTCAAACAAACAAACAAACAAACAAACCAAAAAAGAAAGTAAAAGAAAAAAATCAGGCTTTCTTTTCTGGTATTACTGTGTTTTGAACTCAAGGCCTCTTACTTGTTAGGCAGGTACTTTACCACTTAAGCGAAGTCTCCAGCCCTTTTTTTTTTGGCTTTAGTTGTTTTTCCAGATAGGTTCTTGTGTTTTTGCTTTTTGCTCAAGGCTGGCCTCGGAGGCAATCCTTGTACCTGTGCCTGTGGTGTAGTTGGGATGACAGGGCAGCACCACCACACCAGCCTTATTGGTTGAGATGGGGGTCTCACTAACTTTTTGCCTTGGCTGACCTCCAAGCATATTCCTCCCAGTCTCCACTTCCCAGGTAGCTGTGAAAAAAAATCATGCTTTCTTAACCTTTGCACTGCTGACATTGTGGGACGGATATTTGTTTTGTCATGGGGCTGTCCTAGGCATCTTAGGAGGTTTAGCAGCACCTCTGACCTCTGCCCACTGGATGCCATGGTGTGACAACAACAAAAAAGAGTTTCCAGATTTGTCCAAGTATCTCCTGGGGGATAAAATCACCCCTTGTTGTCCAAAATCCCACCTTCCCAAAATCCCAGGTAATTTGTCCAAGTAAAAAAAGAGTAATGTGAAGTAAAAGAAGGAAAAACCTATAATCTTAAAAAAAGAAACGATTCTAAGCCCATTCCCACCCCCACCCCTAATCAGTGGTCAGTCTCGACTAGAATAGTTCAGGTTACTGTTCTGTGTGCTTCCAGTGGTTCTTCCTTCTGTGCTCTGACATGGTCAGGAAAGAATTGATTCTTGTTTATCCACTATTCTAGTTAGTGGGATAAAAGTAATTATTAATTCCTAATTTTAAAGAGTTAGAATGTCTTAAAATATCTTGAATACTAATAAGTATTTTAATATTTTTTCTTTGTGATTCACTTTAAATTTTGCATGGTTTCTTGTTCATTCTTCTGAATATTAGCTGTGACTGTAGTATAAGTAGTGTAGTTAGCTAGGGTTCTAGTTAATAGCCTCAGACTCAGGCCCTGTGGTCTGTCTCTCTCTTTCTCTCTCTCTCTTCTCCTTGGCCCTCCTCCTCCTTTATTTTTTGTTTGTTTGTTTGTTTTCTTGAGACAGGGTGTGGGAATGTAGTCCAGGCTGACCTTGAATTTGCTGTGTAGCCTCAACTCTCCCGCAACCTCCCAAGTGCTGGGATTACAGGCATGTACTTCCACATACACCTGGCTCCATTCTCTCCTTTTGTAGATGAGAGGTCTGGGCAGTAGAGATAACTGTCCACCCACAGTAACATCCTCAGGGACTGGGACACAACCCTGGGCAGTTATTTATTCTTCTGCCTTGTTTAACCAATAAAAGATGAGTCAAGATGAGTGCTTTGGGCACAGACTTTAAAGGGCCTCTGGGAGTGGATCGATGCAAGATGACACAAGATTCTCATAAAATTCCTCTTAACCACATCTGGGAAATGAAGTACACTTTAGGAATGTCATAGTGCGGGGAAGACAGATAGACGTGTGTCTTTGTATTGCTGCTTCCTGTAAATGACGTGTTAAGCAACACCTGGAGCAACCTTCAGCCTCCAGGTGCCTCTCCTGTTCAACATAGAAGCCGTCCTCACAGTTTCTCTAGGAAAGCTGTGCTGGTTGCTGTTTACTTACACGACCTCGTTCTCAGCTATAGCCTTAGTGAAGACTGTCACAGGACTGGCCTGCATCTCGGAAGTTCACCTACCATGCATCCTTTTGTGTTGTTTTAAATTGCAGCTTCATATTCCCTGTGTTTCTGTCATTTTTTCACTTTGAAAATACGAATATATTCTCATACACACACAAGAACATCGACTTTTAAGAAATATCTATGCTACAGAGGTGTTTGCTATATTTGTTTTAGTATTTTATGAGCACTTGAAATATCTTTAATAAAAATTACTACTCACCAACCCTCTTCATGGAAATTCGAAATTGATTGTCATTTACAGTGGAGAGAAGGGACAAATGTGTGTAAATAATAGCGGTAATGTTTTATAATGCTGTATCACAGTTTTTCTGAGAAGTGGGAAAAAATTTCTTTTAAATAATTTTCACCTTCACTACCATCCACTTTTCAGCAGTGTATCCTTTGTCAGAGTAGATGAACAGGTTGATTATTTTAGGAAGAATTTACTAATTCATTCCAGTTCAGAGAAGATTGATCTGAAAAGTCTGGATTATAAAAGAGTATAAATAGAAAAATGGTACTAATATATTCAGTAGGAAAGGGAGAATCTGGGCCTAGAGATCTTGAAAACATTAAGAAGCAGAAATACAAATTTCAGTTTATTGTTCAGTATAACCGGCACTATTTTTCTTTCTTAAAAATAGCATAACAATTGGAACCTCTCAAAACGTAAATATATACTTAGGAAGATCATGTTTACCCTATTTCCTCCTAAACTTGTTCCTGTAGACCATATAAATGTAAACTAAGTCAACAGAGGTTATTTCTACATTTCTACAACAGTGTGTCAGAAGTGACCTCAATTCGATGAATAATTGTTCCTTTCAGCAAGTGACTCTTATTCCCTTCTTTCAATTCAACACATTTTAGGTGAAGTCAGAAGACGTGTTTGACGAGTGGGTATCCAAACTCCGTCACCACAGAATGTATCGCCAGAATGAAATTGCCATGTTTCCACGTGATGTTAATCACTTTTTCCCAGGGTCCACCATCACCGACTCTGCGGCAGGGGCATTTGACTCCATTTCCAGTAGGAAGGTAATGAGTGTTTTGCACTGGGAATGGCTTCAAAGAGAGAGGCCCATCTTGGGAGCTGAGTCTGAGGAGAGGTTTGTGGGGATGGCAGGGTAAGTTGGGCTGGTGATAAATTAGTCTTTTTGTCCAATGAGATGAGCATCTGTTGAGGGTGGGACAGCACATAGGAGCAATTTAATGTCCCTGAATACTTCCTCTTGGTTAGTTTGTCTGGTTTTCTTTCCTGATGTGTAAAATACAGTTATGTATATATCTGTACAGGATTGCAGAACCTTTCTAAACACTTGTATCATTACTTTGGTAGTACCATTTGATAGTAGAAAAGAAGAACCGTCACCCAAGGCCTTATAAGCTGATATGGCCAAGTGGGGGTGAAAGCCAAAGGTGTTAGGGTCTCCTAGGGGGTGTTTTCTAGAGGCTTCTTCCTATGACAGGCAGATTGTGTCCATGAGGGACTGACCCACCCTCTTATCCTTTAACCCAAAGTGTCCTTGCTGGGCTGTCTTTTCATTTGCAATGTGCTCTTGTCATCTGTGAAACAGCGTAGCAGTATATCAAAGCAGAATTCATTTCAAACCGGAAGCAATTTATCATTTTCTTGTGGTGGTGAGACACGAGTTCCATTCTGGCTACAGTCTTCAGAGGACATGGAAAAATGCTCAAAAGGTAGCGTGACTGTAAACATCTGCTTCTCTCTCATGGTCTAAAGTGATCCTGGCTTAGTATTTATACTCAGATGAATCTGTGACCCTCCTTTTACTCATCTATATTCCCTCCTGTATTTTGCTAAAGTCACATTCATCATCAACCAAAGACACTTTTACTGCTTCACATCTTTTCCTGAGTGTGCATGCAGACAAGTTTCCTTTTCCAGACTTTGAGTACTGATGTTAATTTCTACCTGAATCCATAAACCACGTCTCCAGGGGTGAGAACTGCCATCTCTCTCTCTCTCTCTCTCTCTCTCTCTCTCTTTCTCTCTCTCTCTAGTACTGGGGTTTAAACTCAGGAGCCTTGAGCTTGCTAGGCAAGAGCTCTACCACTTGAACCACTCCCTCATTCCTCTCTTTTTCTTAAGTGCCAAAAATTATTCTGATGTACACCCAAGATTAATGGTCAGTATTCCAGAGGTGAATGGATGACCAAATGGAGATTATCACAATACAGGTGCTCACCACTAGAGGATGAACTTGGTGTCATGTACTTATAATCTTAGCACTGGTTGCTGGAGGCAGGAGGATCACAAGTTTAAGACCAATCTGTGTGAAATAGCAAGACCCTGCCTTAGATAACAACAGCAAAAAAAGAATCACCAAGAGAGCTTATAAAATGCAGGAGTGCTCATGTCCAAGCCGCTCTCCCAAATGCTCTATTTAAATTAGCCTGGGGTGGGGCTCTGGCAGCATGGAATTTCCAAAGTTCTTAGGTGGTTTTGATAAGGAGCCAGTGTTGAGCACTGTGGCCACAAGGAAGCTCACTGTTCTCAACCTTAGTTAGCTAAGGCTCATCCAGGGAGTGACAAGAAAATCTCCAGTGGATGAAGAGGGTTCTGAGTCGTCTAGGGATGGGACTTAGGCATGCGCAATTAAACAAATTGCTCCAGTTGATGTTAAAGTATAGTCATGGTTGGGGGCCACTACTAGAGAAAGATGCCAGTGGTAGCCTTGGAAATTGTTCTTCCTCTTGTCAAATGCAGATGTTATTTCCATTGGGACCATGTAGCCTTTGCCCTTCTAATAAATATTATTCATGAGTTTCACTGACTGACATATTGGTGAAATAGTCCCTGCAGTGTTGTACCTGGACCAGCAGCATTGGCCTAGCCTGGGAACTTATTAGAAATGCACATTTTCAAGCTGGGGTCAGTGGTGCATGCCTATAATCCTAGCACGTAAGAGGTTGAGGCAGGAGGATGGTAAATTTGATGCCAGCCTGCACTACATAGTGAGTTTTAGACCAGCCTCAGTTGCATAGTGAGACACTGTTTCAAAACCAAAACAAAACAAAAATTCTCAAGTCCAACCCAGATGTACTGAATCAGAAACTAGGGGTGGAGTCTAAGGCTTAACAGTTAAGCCTGATGATACCAAAAATCAAGAGCCACTGTCCTAAGCATTTGGGCCTTGCTTACTCAGCAGACACATCCCTCAGCATCCAGTAGAAGCCAGTGTGAATTATCTTACGAGTTGGTGACAAGGCTCTGGTCCATGAGTACTCTTCTTTTATCTCAGGTCCATCTTTGCAAGTACAGAGTAACAGCCCATTATTGCTGAATTAGGAACGACGATGCTGCTGCTGCTGAGGGTGGCTATGTATTTAGTTCTTTGGTATGACACTTGTAAGCACTCTGCATATATCAACTTATTTAACTCTCACTGCTCCCCATGAGCTAGGTGTGCAGTTACCCCCATTTTCCAGATGAGGAAACTCAGGCACAGAAGTTACATCATTTTTCCAAGAGTCACGGTTAATTAGGTAGATTCAAAGTAAGGCCACTTGGTTCCCAGATCCATGCTCTTAATGACAGTCCTTCCTGTAATAAAGGAAGGAAGATTTCCTGCCTGTGAAGATGGAAAATCAAATATAGAAAAATAAGAAAAGTCTCCTGAACCAGCACAGTGACTGCTCTTGCTAGCGGAGACTTTGAGCATTTCCCTCTTCCTCCCACAGACCTGGAACACTGCCATGCCTATCTGGTAGAAATGAGCCAGCTGCTACAGAGCATGGATGTCCTACATCGGACGTACTCAGCGCCAGCCATCAACGCCATCCAGGTTAGCCCAACCCCTCTCCTGTGTGCCTTCTGGCTTCTGCTTTCCTTTCACTCCCTAGCCTTTGACTAACAGCGGGATGTTGTCTGGCTAGTTGCTTCAGCCACACTCAAGCGGATGGAGGTGGTCACTTTGCTGTGCATTCATCACTATTGGTTTGGTAGACCTTACTGTCTGTGCTCTTTCCTGTTTTGAAACAAAGGGTGGAGCTTTTGAAAGTCCCAAAAAGGAAAAACGATCACACAGGAGGTGGCGGTCCAGAGCTATGGGCAAAGATGCTAAAGGAACGCTGCAGGTAACCATTGCTTTTGCCAGCAGACTACTTTCCTCATGGTCCCTGCTTGCATGCCTCGTGTTGGGATTGCTTGACTCAGACAGGAGAAAAGACAAGTGAATGTTCTGGAATTACTCTCTTCCATACTCTGTGTGGAGAGATAAATTCAATCACTTTGGTCTTCTGGACAACCTTGTAATGGATATTGAGCAGGGGAGAGAGAGAATGTTTTCTAAGAGAAAACAACACAGGACTGGAGGTATTGCCACCATTTCTAGGACTCTGTTTGCCTTTCTTTAGTGTTTAGCCTGCCTGCCCTCTTCCCTGCTTGAATGTGTGCTTTGTTTTGTGGCTGCTATGACCTTATGCTCTGACCTCCCTTTCCTGTTGATGCTCAGTGGATTTTCATCACTCTGAGCCTACAGGCCCCAGTCTGTGAGCCCAAGACACGATGAGGATTCTCTTTCATGAATCCTCATTTTCTCCAAATTCCTAGTCTCTCACATTAGGTTCACTTTGTGGTGCTGGGGGTTGTCGTTCCAATGTACAGCTAAACCACAGACCGGTCTTTTCAGCTTGACTATTGTGTATTAAAATCATAACACTGTTAGAATTAAAATGATAAATTCCAAACTTTGGGATCAATCATCTGATACGTTTACTGATATACACTCTGGTTCAAAGTTCTTTATGGGTTGAACTCAAATACTTTTAAAGCCCCAGGTGCAGCCAAAGAAAAACATTTTAAACCTATTTGCTGTAACAGTCTAGTTACTGGGTGATGATTCCCAGGAAGAAGGACTTGAGTGTAAATGAGAAAGCCTGGCTGTGTTAGCTGTCATTTTCAACCGATAGCTTTAAAACTTCTGTCATTTCAGAAAGAACACATGATTTCTCACCCATTTGTATTTCCTAAGGGGCAACTTGCTATGGACAGTAGTTTCCTGGGTTTTCATTTACTTCTTTCTAAGTTATCACTCAGTAGGAAGACTTAAGTATAAAACCCCCTTCTCTTAGTAGGCTCCAATCTAAGACTCAGGTAAATATTCAGAACAGCATGCATCTGAACAGAAATCTCTCCCTTTTTTGTCACTTTAGGTCCCTAAACCTTTTTCTGGCCCAGTAAGACTACACTCCTCCAATCCTAATTTATCAACACTAGATTTTGCAGAAGAGAAAAATTATTCTGATGGCTCCGAAACTTCATCAGAGTTTTCTAAAATGCAAGAAGATCTGTGTCATATTGCCCATAAAGGTAAATAGGATTTCTTTCTTCCTAATATATTTGGTGAAAATGTTAATGCATGCTTGAATCTGAGATGTCCTCAGAAAGGGTATCTCACTTGGTTCGTTTTTTACTCTATGAAGAGTTTGGGCAATTTTTATCTGTTCATTGGTAGTACAGATGTATTTTCCAGAAGTTTCTTTTTAATCTTTTGAAAGAGATAGTGAGAATATAAAGTATATAACAGATAGGATCCATGGTTCCACCTAAATGCAGATTGAAAATATATTTAAAAATTGCATCTGGGGCTGGTGGAGTGGCTCAATTAGTAGAGTACCTGCGTAGCAGTGCGAGGCCCTGAATTCAAACCCCAGTACCATTAAAAAAAAAAAAAAGTACATGGACTGATGGAGTGATTCAGGTTGCAGAGCTCTTGACTAGCAAGTGTGAGGCCCTGAATTCAAACTCCAGTACCACGAAAAAATAAAAATTGCATCTGTACTGAATATGTACAGATTTTTTCTTGTCATTATTCCCTAAACAGTATAGTATAACAACTGTTTGTAAGGCATTACATTGTATTAGATATTATAAGAAACCTAGTGATGATTTAAAATACACAGGAGGATGCAATACCAAGGGATGGCTATACTTTAAAGCTGAGCAGTTCTTATGATGCTTATGACACATAAATCACTACTTTTCTGGAGCACAATATTATGTTCCAGCTATTTTATTAATCTGCCTGTTCAGCAATTCCATTTTGAAGAATCCATTTGTGGTAATTAACTTAAAATTTACTTGAATAAAGATATCCATACTAGTATTATTCATTATGTAAAAAAAAAAGAGAGAAATAAATGTTCGTCCATGATGGAAATAGAAATTAAAGCCACAGTGAGATATCACTACACACTTGAGAGCAGCAAAAAAAATAAATAAATAAAAAAGTTAAATTAAATGCTAGGAAGGATACACAGAAATGGATCAAGGTTCTACATGATATTGAAAGGAAGAAGAAATTAGTGGTTGCCAGAGGGAGGATGGAAAGGGAGGCGCATGAAAGAGTCTTTGTAGTGATGGAAAGTTCTGTATTCTGATATGGTGCTGGTTACAGGAATCTGCACACATGATTAGGTTGCATTTGCTTTCATCCATACCACATACACAAATCAGTGTGTAAATCCAGTGGAATCTGAGTAAGATCTATACATTATACTAAAATCATTGTCCTGGTTTTTGTAGTATGCCAAGGCTATGTAAGATGTTACCATTAGGAGAAGCTGAGCCTAGGGTACAGGGGATTTTTTTTTTTTTTTTTGCTAATGGTTTCAAAATAAAAATGAGAAATAGCCTAAGTGCCTAGCAGGAAGGAGTGAGAATTTTGATGTACTCTGTTTATATCGCGATAATCAGCATAATAATAGATATCTTCTATTGAACACATAACTGTCATGTCAGGTATTTGTTAAGCACTTTATCTGCATCTGCATTGTTTCATTTAATTCCAGCAGCAGCTCCTGGGGTGGATAATATTGTAATGTGGGTTGGATAGATGGGAAACCTGCGTGTGAAGCTGAAGGACTTCCTAAGGGTCATGTGGTTGCAGAGCAGCAACTCTGACACTTGATTCATAACCTGCTTGATGCTGGGGTCCACATTCCTTGCCTGGTATTTCACTGCCCTTACAGAGAGAGTGACTAGGGTAATTTTTTAATAGATATAAATAAAGATGTCCATAATATCTCCTTGAATAAAATTATAAGGGTACAAAGCAATATCTTCCCCCTAAGACTCTTAGCCTGGTCACCGTTAGAATTTCTCAGTGTTTCGCAGGGCTGTTGTACCATTTGTCTGTGAAACATGAGGTATCACCTGGCCCATCTCTTCAAAGCTCTTCAAATGTCCCCTTGGGCATTCTTCAGTATTAAAGAATCAGTTGCAGTGTGGTATTTTAGGTTTTGGGGGAGGAAATTCCTTTCAAATATCATTACATATTAATATGAACTGCCATTTTAAGGCTAAGAAGACCGGGCCTCCCTCCCAAAGGGAAACACCTTGGATCTCACCTGCATTGTGAAAGCTGCTTCCTCAGCAGGGCAGAGGTTGCTATATTGAGTGGATCCATTGATCGCATCCTCCTGCAGAGGCCTCCATCTCATTGAAAGTCTATAATTGGCCCCCAGCTAGCTGTGCTGTCTTTAGGGCTTTGTGAAATCAGCTGGCTATAGAGCTGTCAATACCTACATGAGGTCAAGGTTTGTGCTCCAAGAAAGGTCCAGGTGTGCTATTCAACAGCAGCCTGAGCCACCTGGGCCTACTGACAGTAGATGCCACAGGGAGCTGTACAGTGCTGTGTTTCATTCCTGTGGATATCAAGTGCATCTGTAGAAACTGAGCGATCTCCTCCTCACTGGCTCAGGAAGTCTTGTACACAGGTGCTAATTTGGGGGCCTCATGGAATAAAGACAGCGCTCAGGTCTGCCCTAAGTTCCACAACCTTGTGTGCTTTCCCATTTTCCATGCATTCAGACACGAACAGTCTTGACCTTTCTTTCTGCAGAAGCCTTGTTTTGTTACTGACAGTGTGTATTATACTCTTGACTGCACCACTGTTCTGTTGACTATAATTTTGAAGTAGACAAACTAAAGGAAAGAATTCCACCAATGTAACATAGTCTGTGATATTAAACTTGTTAAATAAACCTGAATTATGGCTTTGTAGATAAAATGGTAGATAACCAACATATATCCATTCTGGTTCTTAAAGTTCTTGCTATATATAATAGAGTGTAAGTCTTATTTTTATGACATGCCATCGAACAAATTTTTATGGTTCATGTTTCTGGCTTTGTGTGTATGTCAACATCCATGTAAGCAAACAGAATGAAATATACTAATTCTAAAAGTAATAATTTTTGTTGTGTATATTGACTTTTACATTTCCTAAAATATATTTTTGTAGAATACTTTACCCATAAAATGCATCAAAATCAAAACGAGAATTTCATGATAAAAACTACTTAGAAAATGAGTTCATGCTGTCGAGATAGCCAAGGGGATTGGGCTTGCCGTCTGTACCACCAAGGAGTCTGCAGCACAGATCAGCATCACTACTGTCTCATTGGCTTCCGCTGTGCGGCCAAAGAAACCAAGTGTTTGTGTAGCGAGACCCTGCACTGGGATACCCCTTTGAAGGACTTAGCCCCAAGACAGCTGCTGTGAGAAGGAACTGAGAACCAAAGACACTTCATAGCCCTTGGGACACTGCTCAGAGGGTGTTCATCCCTCAGGTGTCCCCAGCACCTCTCCCCACCAAATTCTCCCTGACTCTCCATTATGAATCATCCCATCACCATAGGAGGTGGTGCCTCATCTAAGGTCTTCCTTATTGAAAGGGGGCTGTGCAAAAGCTACATTACAAACTGCTATCTCTCCACCAGTTTCTATGGACTCTGTGGCAGTAGGTGCTTTGCCCTATCCATCGGTGTGTGGGTGTGTTCCAATAAAGTTTGTACACTTTCTTTAAAAAAAAAAGTTCAAACCCTAGTTCCATAAAAAAAATAGAAAGGAAAAAAAGCAAAACTGGAAAACACTGCTGACTCTTGTTTCCTTTGCTTTATACAGGAGCTATAGATAGTAAAGCCCCAAGAAGTCCTGCAGCAAATAAGCCTATTAGCTTTAACTCTGATTTTCAGTGTTACTTAGGAAGCTCCCAGCTGTTCCCCCGAAACCTGCTAACCCCCACCAGCTGTTAGCATCCTAGCCCTGAAGCCCCTGAGAAACTTACTTCAGGAAACACTAAATATTAGGCTGTTTCAGAGCTGACCCTCTGTACTGGACACCTCTGTTACTAACTGGCTGTGGGGCCTGACTCCACTGCTTAACCTCTCTGGTCCTCAGTTGCCTTATCTGTTAAGTGTCCTAAAGTAGCTGTCCTGACTCTTTTGGCCCTCAGATTCTGTCAGTATCTTCTATGATTATTCGTTACACCCTGAACAGAGAATTCATACTGTTGCTTGTTGTTAAAAGATTGCACAAGAGCATCTGCTAGTAGCAGCAGAAACAGAGATGATGGAACCAGATTTAGGGTGGAAAAGCAAAGAGCAGGATGGGGTCAGTGTCGGGGTGCTCCACATGGAGATGCGTATTCACATTCTGCTGTGGAAGGGAAACAAATGAGGTTTCAGGATTACTATTCCTATAAGTGAGGAAATTCTCATTTACAGATATAAAGCTAAAAGTAGAACAAAAAACTATATTAACTTATTCTTTTGTTCCTGGTGCCTTTTCTGGTGTTGAGTTGTCATTTTCTGAACTGTTTTGAGCTTACAGAAGCATTGGATCAAAAGCCAAATATGGTGCCCTAAAAATCCTCTGTGCTCTGTCTATTCATCCTTCCTTCCTCCAACCCCATTGATGTTTTTAGTCTCAATAGTTTTGCCTTTCCCAGAATGTCCAATAGTTGGAATCATTAAGAGTATATAGCCTTCTCAAATGGCTTTTTTTCATTTAGTAATATGCATTTACTCCCCACTAAAGGGCATCTTGGTTGCTTCCAGGGTTTAGCAATTGTGAATAAAGTTTCTATAAACATCCTGGAAGGAAAACAAGGCCATGTATTGTTCATAAATTAGAATTCAGTATAAGCGTGTTGAGCAATTTGATTCATGTGCGTTATCAGTAAATAAGTAGGGCCATTTAGGAACATTACCAAATCTATGTAAATCAGTTTGGAAAATGGGTTAGAAAATATTTTTAAACCGTGGCCACTCTGTGAAGTTTGAAACTTGATGGAAGCAGATTACAGAAGATCAAATCATCCCAGATATTTTAGGAATGTTCATATTTTAAAGATAATTTACACAACATGTGTTTCTATTAAAAAAAGGAAGAAAGAAAGCTGAGTAACCTCAGCTGAGTGCTATGTGATAGTATGTTTTTTCATTGTTTCCTTAAAGCACTCCTGAGATGTGGGCATTATCCACTTATACAGTGTGGAAATGAGGATCCGTCCAAAAATCTAAATGGCAACTAAGTGGTAGAGGCAGGATTTAGCTTCACATCTGCCTTATTGCAGACTTTCTTTCCCCTGTGTCACACTGCCTCTGTGGGGGCAGTGTCCCTGGCATTGTTAATTATACTCCTTAAGGTCGTAGTCCTTCCCAGAGCTGAAAAACTGCTAATGAAGGAGCGTGTGAAGTAGTAGAGCTCAGTTGCGTTAAGAGTATGATTATCCCAGGACTTGGGGGCGTGGCTCAAGTGGCCCTGAGTTCAATTCCCAGTACTAAAAACAAATGTTCAATTATACTGTATCCCATCCAGGCATGCTAGGTGTTACAGTCTCACCATCCTCATGCAATAAAAGAACAGTATGGAAGTCTGTAACAAGAAAGGTGATGGCCACCAGTTGTCAACTGTATGATGTCCATGGTGTTCTGTTTTGTGTCTGCAGTTTAAGGTTTCCTGTAGTTGAAATCTCCACCTGTGTCCCACTCTTAGTCCAGCTAGGGAGCCTGTGAAATAGCTAATGAGAAAGAGATGAGTAAACAGAGATCCCATAACTGTCTTCTGATATTTGACCACCCCAATGAAAGAGGAAGCAGTCCTATTTGACAACGAGGAGAGACCGAGGCAGATGTTGTCTTAACAATGGGAAGGACCCTCTAAATCCCAGAGCAGAATGATGGATTTTGAGAAGCGTCGTTGAAAGACCATTTGGCAAAGTCATTAGGCCTCGAAAGGGGTTGTCCACACTCTGGCCTGGGTGACTTTGGTGATCTCTGATGTTCTTTATAGCTCTGGGTATCTCAGACTTCTGGTGTGGTTTTGTTTGTTATCAGATATCCATAGAGGCAATACCGTCACTTGGATCTTCTATTTTTAAGCTTTCTATTTGTCTGTAATAAACTTAGAATCAAGTTAGGAACAAAGACACTCTTATAGGGAGGAATGTCCCTTACCTCTGGGATTCCTTGTCTTTAATAATGAATATAAACATTGTGTCCCATGAGCAGCCCCAAACTGTTACTCTGGGTACACTGAACCGCTGCGTGTGACTCCCTTCACGTTCCCTGGGTGGGCCTTAACATTCGCTTAAGAAATTTAGTTCTGGAGATCTGGTCTTCTGAGTCCACTCGTCAGGTGATTGAGGCAGTTTTACACCTTCAGTGAAATATAATTATTACATGAGTTTCTTTCTGTTTATTTTATGCCTACCAGAGTGCTAACACATCCCAAACCAAATAGTGCACATTCTGCCAATTTAAACATTTTAAAGAGTTTTGTAGTTTGATTGAAAGCCTTCTTGGAGCAGGACATCTGAAAGCCAGTGGAATCGATTTGGGAAACTGGCAGCCAGCTGAGTGCCATGATAATTTCATTTGGAGGAATAAACACGTCAGTGAAGAGGTAGTTCCCCCAGGGACCCACCAGGATGGTTGTGGATGTTGTGTTGGGGTGGGGGCGTTTGTCTAATGGGATGTGAAATGCTGTGAGCTCCCTGCAGGGCTCATGGCCCTCCTCCCAAGGCTGCTGTTCTGTGGCTCAATACGCCCTGCCAGTCTCTCATTCTTAGACTCTCTACTCTGCGTGCAGTTTTTTACAAGCATGCTTCTGGCAAGGGACTAAAGCATCCTGCTAGAACTGCTGTCCCTATTTCAAGAGAGTGCAGCCACCCTCACTCTCATCCTCATATCGCTTTCAGCATCATCACTATTATTATTGCAGTAGCTTTATCTGCATTATCTTTCTTAATCCCTATATCTACCTATAAAGTAAATGCTATTAGTATCTCAATTTAGGATCTCAGGCACATCATACACTTTGTCCAAGGTAATGGAGCAAATAAACAGTAGATCCCTCTCTTCTGGTGCCAGAAGCAGCGTGTGTGTGTGTGTGTGTGTGTGTGTGTGTGTGCATATGTGCACACAAATTGCTTCTTGTTTGTATTTTGACTTTGTGAAGGTGCTGTCATCCATAATCAAATGCCACAACCTCAGACAAGTTCAGTGACAACATAGAGAGAGGGTCAGTTGTCCTCCTCACTGTTAAATGAAGGCAGTAAGTCGATAATGCGTATTTAGTTTCTGTGTTACTAAATAGGCCACTCTTGGATAACAGTACTGCTGGAAATGCATGCTGGGGAGTTCAGTAATATGCCAGGTCATTTGAGAAGAAGTGTGTCTCAGTCTCTTCCTTCTTCCTGCCCGTCTACAACAAAATATAATAGAGGAGATTGGAAAGATAATATTCAAATGTGATATACACGGTTAGTAATTTGCATGGCAGTTCTTTATTCCTAGGGGGTGACTTGCACATTTTTGTGACCAGAGCCTGATAGATTTTTTTTTTTTTGCCATATGTGCTCATGTTTTTAAAAATTTCCATTCAGGCATTTGGGTCCCTAACAGTGCTAAGTGCTCATCGTACCTGAATGTTCTCGAAAGTGAGCAGAGTAGCTGAATGCCAAGATTAGAGGTGGGGGGTTTCTGATCCTGCAGCTAGAGAGACTAACAGGGAAGAGGGTAGACAACACCTCATTTTGAAATATTTTCAAAATTACAGAAAAGTTGCAAGAATACTGAAAGAACTCTCATATACCCGTTACCTAGATTTGCCATTTTTAGTTTCTTCTCACATTTATTTCCTCTCTGTCACTTTCTGTACACACATACTTGTATTCTTCTGCGTCGTCTGAGAGCAGAGACGTCATGCCGTTCCTTATGGCATTGCACTTTTAGTGGATATTTCCTGACAATAGCACTATGCTGTTATATGACCCCAATGTAGTTGTCTAATTCAGAACATGTAGCATTGAAACAATACTTGAATCTGTTCCACCTTCCCCATCCAAATGTTGTCAGGTTAGGAAGAATGCCCTTAATGCTTTTCCCCTACATTCAGGACGTGGTCCGCAATCCAGTGGCACTTCACTGCTGCCTCATGAGCCTCCTTTAATTGGAACAGTTCTTCAGCCTTTCCTTCTCTTTTATAAAATTGATACTTTTGAAAAACACAGATCAATTTTTAAAACTAGGTAATTCAGCTGTTCATTTCCTCCTGATCAAATCCACATTATATATCCCTAGCTAGCTTTCAACAAAGAAAATATCGTGTCTTTTCCAGGGTATGGTACCCAGAGGCACAGACTCCACTGACTCTCAGTTGTAATTACTTTTAATCATCTGGTGAAGGTGCTGTCTAGTTTTTCTGGTGCATTATTACCATTTTCCCCTGATAACTATTAAGCCTTGTTCTTATCCATTTCCAGTGTTTGAGGATATAAACAAAACCAGATGCTGACCATTTGCTGACCATAAGTCATAAAATCATGGAATGTTGTAGTAGGTTGGGGGTTAGGCTTGGCAAATGTGTGTAAATTTTAATAGACTTTTTCAAGCAGTTTTAGGTTCACACAAAATTGAGCAGAAAGTAGAGAGTCCCCGTAAATACCCTACCTCCCTTGTGGCATAGCCTCCTCTACTATTGACATCCCATAGCAGATTGTTACATGTAATAATAATAATAGCAGTAATAATAATATAAAAACTACATTGACATGTCATTATCACCCAGAGCATGTAAATTATATTAGGGTTCACTCTTGGTGTTTCCCATTGTAACTATGTTTTTTTATTAAGTCAATGTAGAGTATGTATTTGCTGAACTCAAAATATTTGAAGCTATGACTTTGCTTAATTCTTTTATAAGAAGTACATATTTCTGTGTTTTGTTTTTAATTATATCTCTTCCTTCATTCCTTCTTGTAATGATTATATCTTTATAGTTTACTTCGCTTTAAGGTCGGCTTTTAATAGCATCTCAACGGAGAGAGAGAAACTGAAGCAGCTGATGGAGCAGGATGCCTCCTCCTCCCCTTCTGCTCAGGTCATTGGGCTGAAGCACGCTCTGTCATCCGTAAGTCACCCCGATGCCTACACATGTGTCCGGACTCAGGAATTGTTTATGTTTCCGTTTCCATGATTGCATTGAAAGTTTATGATTTTCACAGTTGGGTTGAAAATTAAGGAGAAAACCAAACTATCCAAATTACATCCCAACCTTCCATCAGATCTGCTTATTCGAAATAGTGAAACTTGGCTAGCCAAGTCTTAGTAATTAGTATTTTATTAAATGTTAGGTTGTTTACATTTGGTTTCCTCCAAATTACCTTAAAATTTTCTCCTTATAGAAAACTTTCATTGTATGTTTATGCATGTCTCTACAGACATTGGTTTAATGCTTACAAAATCTGAGTTTGCAGGGAATTTTGTGAACCTGAGACATCATAAGCTTAGATCAACTTCACTAATGACAGGTGGCAGAGAAACATTTCCAATTCACACTCTTCTCTACTGCAAAGCCCTGATCCTACTTACTGCCCTTTCAAAGACGTGAAAGTTATTTTATTAAATAGTACAAAATATTTAGCTTTCTTTCCTCTGTGGGTACAAAGAATGAATCATACAGAAGTGTCTGTCAGGTAATCATTGTGTCTTCATAAAGAAAAATCACTGTCACAGCCTCAAATGTTTTCCAGTAAGCTGTTCTGTCACCCACTCTCCTTTTTTCCTTCAACTTAAAATGTTCCTCAGAAGAGTTGGGCTCCATTGATGTGCTGTGCACTAGCGCTATTGGAATAGCTGAAGATGCCTGGTAATTCACCCTTCATCTATCAAGATGCTAGAGATCTTTTGAAGTAGTGTACTTACTTGCTTTTATTCTTTGCTTGTACTTTGGAATTCCTACTTTAAAAAGAGAAAGAAAGCTGGGCATGGTGAACAAGCCTGAAATCCCAGCACTCAGGAGGTAGAGGCAGGAAGATTGTGAGTTTGAGGATAGTCTGGGCTACATAGAGAATTCAGGGTCAGCCTGAAATAACAAGACCCTGTGCCAAGGAGAGAGGGGATGAGGTGGAGAGGAAGAGAGAGAAGGAAAAAGAACGCACACATGTATTATTAGGGGTCAGGTAAAGGAGATGAATTTCAGGATTTTGTTACCAGAAACCAATATAGACAGTGAGAGAAATTGTCCATTGATATTTTCTATTTATCATATTGCTGAGAAAAGCAATGTTCTTGATGTATTACTAATGATAAATCCCTCACCAGTAGTACACATTGTAGTTATAGAATATTTAAGGTATATTCACTCAGGTGACAAGTCCAGCGATGCTGTCTTTGAAAGAAAAATTTAAAATAACGTTGACTTAGTCTACATATAGAGTGTTAGTGTTCTTTTAAGGTCAGAGATAGAAAGATAGAAACACATCATTTTGAATTGCAGTGAACAGCTGGCCACACATTGGGTTACTTACTACTTTGGTTTGAAAGAAACAAAGTAGGCTGTTTGTTTGTTTGTTTTTTGGTCTTTGTTTATTTCTTAGTGGTGCAAAGCGTTTATTGTTCCATTAGGTTGGCTTTTAATGCATTAGAATGTACCTCTGATGGGCACCCCAAAGTTCCTTTCCCAAGGTCTTCCCTTCCCTTCGCTCACACAGGTCTGGCCTCATCTTGTTAATCTGCTTGTGTCACCAGCGAGACCCATTTGGTCTTGGTGTCCTGGGTCAAAATTGACTTCAGCTTTGCTAAGAAATTCTCTCTCACCCATGTTCATGGTTTTGGAAACTTAAAGCAGAATGATCCTTCTTTTATTGACTTAGATTCTTTTTTTTTTTAAGTTTAAAGTGGGAGGGTTTATTGAGATAGAAAAGTGTGAATGGGAGACTAGACCCCCAGTGTTGAGGGGACCCCCAAGAGAGGGTGCCCTTGACTTGGATTCTTGATTTGATGCAAGACTTTTTTAAAGATAAAATTTCCAGAATCATCTCAGAGCTACCAGAATGAATATGCTGGGATTGTAAGTGCAGTCTTTTTTGTTTGCCTATGGTTTACAAAACAAAGAGAAGCTACCAAAATACCACAATTTTTAGGCTAGGTGAAGAGTCTAGCCACTGAATCAGAGATATATTTACCAGGATGAACTGAGTGCCCCAAAGAGATTGTGATTTGTAGTTGTTACATATGACCCTTGTGCTTATTCAGTGTTTCTTAAATGATCTTTGAGGATTTTTACTTTATTTTATTTTTTTAACTTTTTATTTATTTATTTATTTTTCATTTTTCTTTTATTATTCATATGTGCATACAAGGCTTGGTTCATTTCTCCCCCCTGCCCCCACCCCCTCCCTTACCACCCACTCTGCCCCCTTCCTCTCCCCCCCTCAATACCCAGCAGAAACTATTTTGCCCTTATTTCTAATTTTGTTGTAGAGAGAGTATAAGCAATAATAGGAAGGAACAAGGGTTTTTGCTGGTTGAGATAAGGATAGCTATACAGGGCATTGACTCACATTGATTTCCTGTGCGTGGGTGTTACCTTCTAGGTTAATTCTTTTTGATCTAACCTTTTCTCTAGTACCTGTTCCCCTTTTCCTATTGGCCTCAGTTGCTTTAAGGTATCTGCTTTAGTTTCTCTGCGTTAAGGGCAACAAATGCTAGCTAGTTTTTTAGGTGTCTTACCTATCTCTTTGAGGATTTTTAAAAATAACCTGTAGCTTCTGCAGAAACTAAAAAATAAAACCAGAATCCTTGTGTAATATAAAGCAAAGCAGTGGATTAAGCATACCATGTTACCAGGTAGGTGCTTCAGGCCCCAACGGATTCTCTGAGCTTCGTGGAAGACAACCAGAAAGAAAGACAGAGGTTGGGATCTGGGTGCAAGCACCCCTGGAACTGATTGTGGGAATATTTAGGAGGACAATCAGGAGAGTTTGTCCCCTTCCAAAGTCAAGCCATGTGAAGCGCACAGGAGAATCAGCCAGGAGGAAACAGTTTCCTTACCCCAGGTCCCTCCTACAGCTGAGAGGTTGAGCTAAGGGATGGGACCTGCCCAGGGGAAAATAAAAGAGGTGTGGGTGGTCTCATATATGCTTATATCCACCCATCCCCAGGGCCATCATTCTTAAGCCATTATGCAGGTAAGTGAGGTTTGTTTTACTTACTCATTTTAAAACAAATTGCCTCAGTCCTAAAATCAGTAAAACAACCAGCACCTGTATTAGAAGAGTAAAATTCACCTTTCACATCCTTATTTCACAAAACACTCTTCCTAGGATCCAGTTCAACTGCTATGATAATTAAATCACATTGAAATATGCCCAGCCTCCTTCCAAGGATGAGAGACACTTGGAATCTTGAGGGGAAAGTTGGCCAAAGAGGTGGTTGGGCAGGAGGAAGAGCTGCCGGGTGGGGTCTGTGACTTCCTTTTGCTACCTTTACTAACCCTCCCTCCACCTCTAGGGATGAGGGTAGCTAAGGAGCGTCATTTGCAGGGTTCCTCCTTTGTAATCTCCCCAGTGTCCTGCTGAAGAGCAAGTGGAGAAAGCCTGGTATCCCTCAGGGCATGTCACCCAGAGGTTCACCAGCTCCCAGAGATCTCTTCTGCTGGGCCCCTGCTGTGCTTTGCTAAGCCATCCCTGTATTAACAAAGCCCCGCTATTTTTAACATGTTCCAGGCCCTAGCACAAAATGCAGAGCTTAAAGACCGCTTGCGCAGAATCCATACGGAGTCTCTGCTCCCGGACCTGCCCGCTGTTCCCAAGTTGGGTGACAATCTGGCAGAGGTGGGTAGGTTTCTTGTCTGGTTACCATCTCTGCGACTGCCACCCCTCACATGACACCCTCTGTCTGGTTGCACGGTTTCCCTGCTTCACCCTCCTGAGTGGTGTTTGCCTCTCCACAGCCTTTTCTGGGTGCTGCCACAGCAGGAGGCTGGCCACAGCTGACTCTTGGGATTCCAAAGCTTTCCTGAGGGTTACTGTCAGTCACGTTTACAACTGCTTCCCCAGCTACTGAATTCTTCCTTTTGTATTTCTTCACCTCATTTCCCTCCTCAGTGTGTCTCCACTCACTAGGTATTTCTGGAGTGGGAGCTGTGCAGAAACAAGCATTTTCTGTGGCTCTCTGCTGAAACCTAAATTTCTGTGACCTATAGCATCCAGTTCCATGCCAGCTTCCTTTGTCTGTGCTGTAAAAACCATGCTACCCTTTCCTTGTGGCTGTTCCCTTCCTCCTTTTCCTGTGATTTTTTTTTCTTTTATAGAATATAGCTGTACACTCTGAGGGAAACCATTGCATTTCAATCGAAATGTCTTGGTCAGTAAACAATATATTACAACGATCTTTTCTCAGGACATGGGATGTTTACTTAAAATAGTCTTGGAGCATGTTTAAAATGAAAAATACACTTTGGTTCCTCAAAAAATAAATCAGAAAGGGTAATGAAAGTGAAACAATTTTAAGCTGTTTCTTATATTTATCTGCCTGCCTCAGATGTGCTGAATTGTTCATTAACAAATTTATAAGACTGAGTAGGTTTAAAATAAAAATAAGACTATAACAAAGTGTATGTGAATATGTAATTTTTAAAAATGTTTAGTCATAATCCTTCTTTTCCTGTCCTAAAAAAAAAATAAATAAATAATTCCTTACATGTTCAGGCAGCCCTTGGGTTGTAATGGGGAGAGTTAGAGGCTGATGCCAGCGAGGACAGACATTTCCAGGGCCCTGGCCTCTGTCCATTTGCAGTCCAAGGCTTGCCACGTGCTTACAGGACGAACTCATCTGATGAGGGGGCACCCCCTCTCTGCAGAGGCTCCTGGCCCTCTTACTTCTGAGGCTCTGAGGCTCATAGAATGAAATTCCTCTACAGACACATTGCCCCTAAGAGAGCAGCCCTAAACCACTATCTGCAGGATTTAGCACTTAAATACTACTCCCAGTGGTCTAGACAAAGACGTGCTTACCCTGCAGTAAACATTTGCTACGGCAGGGCTCGGTCATGGCCATGTCTGACCATCATTGAGGGTTGCTTGCTGCCAAACTCCATAGCATTCTCCAGTTTTATGCCTATTTCCAGATAGTACTTACCTTTAACATAGTATTATCATATAAATTACATTTTATGAATTTGTGCTCACATGTATGCTTGGGGGTATCAGTGTTTTCAGATGGAAACCCAAATCCCAAGTCTTGAAACATGCATGTTTTTGCACCACTTTCAAAAATACCAGCCTGAAAACTCAGCAGCTGAAAACTGTCCCCGAGGGGTGGCTGTTCATCCCTCCAGAACAGCCTTCTTGAATCTCACTCAAGTCAGTGATGCAGTTGCTCGTTTATTTCCTCCTTCAGAGATTTTCTGTTTCCCACGATTTATCCTTTTCTATTCACTGAATGACTCAAGCTATCTTTCCCAGCAAGGGAAAAGCCATTGTTGCCTTCAGGAAATAAGAACAGGAATAAGTGGAAAGGACCACCCACACTGAAAACTTGACTCCAAGTTATTTTTCCAAGGTAACAACCAGGCACCGCAAATACTGTTAGGGATGACAGCCACCAACAGTGGGGCCAGCCCAAAGGGCTCTGGTTTTAGGACCATCCATGGTCTTTGTTTACTTTCTGTTGCCTTCCTTTAATTACCCATGTTTGGTGTTGAACCTGGATACTCAAACTCTAAAAGCTCCCCTTTCCTATCAGAAATCACTCCTATAACCTGGCAAGCCGCTCCTACTTTATATTATTGAATGTGAAATTTTAATATCAGGTTATCAGTTCTTAGATTATTTTATATTCCAAATGAAAGGCCAAATGACTTTTGAAGATAACATTCTTCTCCATCTAAAGTCCATTTAAAAGAATAAAAAAAAGATATTTAAAAGGAAAGTCCGAAAGACAAGGAGACAGTTTCTTTATTTTAGTTTTGAATTTTTTTTTTGCTTTGTTTTGCAGTTCTGGGGATGAATCCTAGGGCCTGTGCATGCTAGGCAAGTACTCTACCACTGAGTTCCATCCCCACTGCCTGCGTGCTATACTCCATAAGCATTTGAAAGCATTACTTTACAAAATCTCAACCCTGACTATATGGAGTAGGTGATGGTAATTTCAATTTTAGAGACGAGGAAAGTAAAGCTTACAGAGGTTAAGTAACTTCCCCCAGACACACAGCTTGTGAGTCAAGGGGGAGATTTAATTCATATTTAAGAGGCAAAAGTACGTGTTTTCTCCATAGCATCACACTCTATGTAGTGAGGAAAAGCATGCCAACCCAGAAAATAAAACACTTGTTGAAGCTCCTTTAGTTAAAATAAGGTGGCAATCCTGTAAGAATTGGCCAGAATGACTATCTCAGGCGTAAACACCATTCTGCATATAAAAGAAATACACACATGGGTAAGAAAGGTATCAAAAGCCAAAGGGAAAGAGATAGATTATTCAATAAATTGGGGCAGGGCAACCCAAAATGATTTGAGAAGTTGAAATCTTTCCATTGCATGCTCATGTGAATCCTCAGCCAATTCAAGTTAAATATGAAAATGTAAACTGAAAAATATTGACTTGAATATTTATCAAACTGCTAGAGTAGGAAGGATTTCCAAAATCGAAGAGTAATAACAAAAATTGCACAAGAAATGTTGACCACATTTGATTATATACTTTAGGGAAAAAAATGATATGTGTCAAAAATAAGGCACATACTAAACTAGGAAAAATATTTTCAGTGAAAATGATAGGCTTAGATAATACTAACTCAATTACAGTGTTTTAATAAGTGAACAGTGAACAAATAATATGTAACCTAGGTCTTTGCACATAAATGGAAAAAGGATATAATTCACACATATGCACATGCACACACAATACAAATACAGTAGTTGTAGGGTTTTTTGGTCTTTAGTTTTAATGTTTGATTCAGTCATGCATTGCTTAATTACTAGGCTATGTCCTGAGAAATCCATCATTGGATGATTTCATCGTTGTGTGAACATTATAAAGCGTGTGTGTGCAAACCTAGACGGTAAAGCCGACTGCATCCCTAGGCTGTGTGGTATGCACACCTAGAGGATATGCTGTAACCTATTTTTAAAGTGTTTATGGCTTTGTTTTTACTCTTTGTAGTTTCTTGCTAAACACTAAGATGTAAATGCACACATTAGCCTATGGCCACAGCGTGAGGATTATCAACATTACTGTCTTCCACCTCCACCTCTTGTCCCACAGGAAGGTCTTCAGAGACAGTAAAAAAGCAGGAAGCCGTTGTCTCTTATGATAACAAGTCCTTCTTCTGGAATCCTTCTCAGAGGACCTGCCTGACGCTGCCCACAGCTTACTGGTTTTTTATATATATAAGTAGAAGGATCCCAGTCTAAAATATTAAGTATAGGATAGTAATTCATAACCCAAGGACAGAGCTGTGTGTTATCATCATCGAGCATCATTGTGCTGCCACATAATTGCTTGTGCTGTACTTTCACAGGGCCTGCAGCACTGTGGGCTTGTTTGTACCAGCATCCCCATAAACACGAGTCGTTCCTTGGCATTGCATCAGCATGATGGCTATGAGCACTAAGGAATTTTTCAGCTCGATTATTATCTTTTGGGACCCTTTGACAGAAATGCCATTTATGGCACATGATTGTAGTTATTCCTACAGAGGTTCAGAGAAATGCAAAGCAAGCCTTGTGTACCACTTTTCCTAGCCTCTCTCCACATCAAAACTCTACAGCTTGTATTTTTTTTTAAAAAGAAGAAGAGCATTTAGCCTGATGAAAATGAGAACAAATAGATTAGCACAAATTTTTTTCTAAATTATGGTATTCACTGCCCTTGATATAAAGACGTAGAGAAGATATTTTTCTTACATGTTAATATAATGAAGTTATGTGCATACGTACACATATATATATATATATATATACACATATATATCTTAAGCATTTTGTCTTAATTTCTTTTTCTTTCTTTCTTTCTCTCTCTTTCTCTCTGTCTTTCTTTTTTTGTGCTGGGGCTTGAACGCAGGACCTTGTGCTTGCTGGGCAGCTCCTTACCCCTTTTAAATCACTCTGCCAGCCAAACACCACCCTTAATTTCCAACACAGAGAATTATTACTGTATGACATACACATAATAAAATATCTACCAGTTAAAGTACATTGTCTCACAGTATTTGTAATGCCTAGGAAAATATTCACAATATAATAATAAGTGAGTGTAGCAGATAATATATGGTTATATGCAGTTTGACCCCAGTCTTTCAAAATAAAAAGAAAACTACACAAAAATATTTTAATACTAAAAAATACCCCAGTAGACTAGAGATGTGGCTCAAGCGGTAGAATGCCTGCTTCACAAGCATGAAGCTCTGAGTTCAAATCCCAGTTCCATCAAAAAAACAAAACAAAACAAAAACCCAAAAAAGTTCAGACCACATCTGGCTGGTGGAACTTTAATATTTATTTTGTTTACATTTTTATACATGTTCTACTTTGAGTACATCTTACTTTATCCTCAGAACACATTAGTATTAAAAATATTTTTGTGCAATGTTTGGGAAAAGTTGATAAAATGACATATACAGAAATAGTATGATTATACTCATTTCAAAACAAATCAAAATTAGATGTATAAAAAGATTGGAGCAGGTGTGATGACGCATATCTGTAACACCAGCACTCTGTAGGCTGAAGCAAAAGGATTGTGAGTTTGAGGGCAGCCTGGGCTACACAGTGAGACCCTGTCTTAAAAGTAAAGCAAACAAAGCAAAAAGAATCCAAAAAGATTGAAGGGAAATGTGTCCAAAGAATTGTAGCAGTTGTCTTAGTGTGATAGGATTATGGGAGTTTCCTTCCCTCCTTTCCTCTGGTTAACTTTCTGCAAGGTAAATAGTAGATAGATAACCACTCCCTAGTTACAAACAATAAGGGGAAATTACTGAACTGGTAATATTTCAACAAATGAGGATCTGAGTTGTTCAAGCAATGGTGCTGGGGAAGTCCTGGTGAGTTCTCAATATGACTTCAGAAGAAGTTGCCAGAGTGGTGGAAGGCCAGAAAGGGCTAGAGTTGAACATCTCTAACCCAAAAATCCCAAATCTGAAGTGCTCCAAGATCGTAAACTTTTTGAGCACCAATATGAGGTCACAAGTGGAAAATTCGATACTTGACCTTGTGATAGGTCACAGTCAAAACATAAGTACACTGAAATACTGTTCCACATTACCTTCAGGCTATGTGTATAAGGTATATATGAAACATAGATGAACTTTACATCTAGACTTGGGTCCTATCACCAAGATACCTCATTATATATATGCAAATATTCCAACATCCAAAAAAAAAATTCAGAAACCCAAAATACATGTGGTCCCAAGCATTTCAAATAAGGGAGCCTCAACCTGTATCTTTTTCAGCATTGATTAGCAAGGAAATCCTTCTGACCCATCAGTGTAGGAAGAGAAAGAATAGAGAGAGCAGGAATGTACAGTAATGAATGAACAGCACAAATAAATCAATAGCATCTCCTATGGTGGCTCACACAGGAGACACAGATTCCATTGCCTGAAAGAGCTCTGCTAGTCGCTACAGTGTCTTCAAATTCTTCTGTGCCTTACTCTTTTGAGGAGAGACTTTTCCCTTAAGATGATAGCTGTAGTACTCACAGATGCTACAGTGATCTCTTTGTTAGAGTAGAGAAAAAGCTGGCTTTTCAGAAGGCTGCATGGATATTAAAAAAAAAAAAATAGTAGAACCTGACTGGCTACCAGTGTCTATAATCCTAGCTACTTGGGAGGCAGAAATCAGGAGGATCTTGGTTTTCTAGGCCAGCCCAAGTAAAAAAGTTCACAAAACTCTGTCTCAACAGAAAAAAGCAGGTTGTGCTGGAGCACACCTGACATCCCAGCTACTGTTGGAAGCATAAATAGGAGGATCATAGTCCAGGCTGGCCTGGGCAAAAAGCAAGACTCTATCTCAAAAATAACCAGAGCAAAAAGGGCTGGATGTGTGGCTCAAGTGGTAGAGCAAAGCCTTGACTTCAAACCTCAGTACCACCAAAAAAAAGTGGAATCTTTAATCCAGTACCTTGGACAGGTGTTTTATTTAGGAAGATTCCAAAGAAAAGGAATAGATATTTCCATGTGTTTCGTAAAGAGACCCCTTACTCTTTGTTATAAAACTCTGCTGAGAGCCTCCTGTCCTGACATCCCCTTCTTAGGCATAACTTAGGTTGCTGAGACTGAGCAATGTATCCTGAACTCATTAAACCTCTGGGCGAGACATCTGCCTCAGATTATTTTGGGTCTTGCTTATCAGATACATAATTATACAGAAGTAACTCCTTTACTAGCCCAGTAAAAAATGTAAGCTTCTCTGAGTCCAAGAAGTCAAATCATCTTATCCTAAATCTGTCCTAATCAAGGTCTAGGTCACATGTCACCTCCATGAAGCCCTCCCCATACCTGATCTCCTTAATCAGAGTCAATCCCACCTTCCTGACTGTCTCTATAGTCCTTTGCCTCTTCACAGTATGTGTGTTGGTCAGAAACCTTGACTTTACTCTTTACCATATTCCTCCATGGCCAGCTGAGGACTATATACAAATCAGTTGCCTAAAGTATTGAGTTGAATTGAGTCTTTATTTCACATAGAGTAAAATGCATGCTCCCCAGTATTTCAGGTCCTTCCCATAGGGCAAGTCTAGATGCAGTGTAGTGAAGGATGGAGGGCCATGTATGATAAGCAGAGTGCTATTGTGTTGACTATCAAGGGTCAGAGGTTTCCTTCCCTTGAAGAATCATTGTTGGTGGAGAAAGGCAAAGAGATTTCATCTCACTTACCCAAGAGCAATGAACAACCTGCCACCAGGGGCATCCCTGAACCAAAACATACAAGCATATCAGCTTCTGAGTGTGCATAGGGACAGAAGAAAGCTATGTTGCTTGGAGCCAGCCATGCAAGAGCATGCATTTAGTACAATTCCAAGGAAATTTGGGGATGAAAAGAAGCAACCTGCAGTGGTAGAAAATAAAAGGATATATTCAAAATGCGTTTTAATTTCCCCTCCTCAAGTGGAACAAACATTGACCTGGGCAGCTGTTGTTTGGTTTGAGATTGGTGGCATGTATCTGAGTAGTGATAGTGCCAATAAGTTAAGTGCCTATTTGGGGGAAACTTCACTTTTCATTTTGTTTTGCCTGAGGCCTGCTTCTTCTCAATTCTGGAGCTGACCGCTGCTTTTGAGTGCTTATTGGCATGGGCCTGTGACCTTGTGTATTATGCAACTAAATGACTTGTTTGTTTCTCATGAGACTGTTTCTAAATATATGCATTTTTGTTTTTCAAATAGGACAACTCCAGAGATGAAAACCGAGCCCTGGTTCACCAGCTGTCCAATGAGAGCAGGCTCTCTATCACTGACTCCCTTTCAGAATTTTTTGATGCACAAGAAGTTCTCTTGTCTCCAAGCTCTTCAGAAAATGAGGTTTGAACACTATTTCCAGCTAGGTGCCTCAAAAAATCTCTTTTTGCGGCTTTGTTGACTAACCTGTTCAGCAAAGATCCATGCCTTAGAAATGCTAAACTCAATAGCCCCTTTCCACCATTACATTCTGAGGGTCCTTTATATATTATACCCCAAAACACAAAATGATACAATATGCTAGAGGGAAAAAGTTGTAAAAGTACAGGGTATTAGATACTTTCTCATTTCTGCTGCATAGTAATTCATCATACTTTTTCAAATTACAGATTGATAATTCAGGTTTCTACCTATTTAATTATATAGTATTTCCACTATATGGAAAGGAATTAGTATTGTATGTATTTTTAATCCTGTTAACTTGTATTATGCAATCTTTATATTATTACAGTTGTTATCCAGAGGGTTATTGTCATATTAATTTATAGTATATAATATTGTTTTAAACTGTTACCTAAAAATAATGCTTTCTAAATGAATAAGTACCATAGTTCTCATTACTATGTGGAAGTGTGTGTTAATAATTTACCTCTTAAGTAATTTTGTTTATGTATTAATTCCCATAGAAGATTCTTTTACTTCACTAATACTTCAAAGACAAATTGTAATTCCTTCTACCCAATACAAGCAAATTCTGAAAATGCAGGCTGAATTAATAAGGATTTTTATAGTAACAGAAATCTGGAGTTTACTTGCTGTTTTGTTTTCCTTGTAAGAACTAACAAAGAATATATAAAAATTTAGATATCATTTGTTTTGCTGTGGGCATCACCTCGGAGGATTGGCATTATGGGCCTCTATGAAAATAGCCCCCAAAATGAACATGACAGGCTTGTAATATGGAGTGCTGCATGTTTGATCATTTGGGGGTAAGGACTTTATGAAGATACAGCTCTTGTTTGTTCTTTCTGTAATGTGTATTATTTCTTCTTTCCTGTAGATTTCTGATGACGATTCATACGTCAGTGACATAAGTGATAATCTTTCCTTAGATAATCTCAGTAATGACTTAGATAATGAAAGACAGACCTTGGGTAAGATTTACATTATTTGATCTCTGAAAGTTTGAATCATCATAGAATACTAATAAGCATAAATAGAGTGCCTGCTGTTTGCAGAGAGAATGGTAGCAAGTTCTACATAAGAAAATTAATACATAGTCCCCACTTCCCAGGATTTTATAATCTAGATAAGGAGATAGCATTCATATGTGAAGGTTGTATTCATTCAAATAAATTTGTCTGCTTGTACAAATTTTTTTCTATAAACTGAAACTATACCAATTTTCATATGAATATCAAAATAATACAACAACTACCCCTTATGCAGTCAAACATTCTCTCTGCAAATACATTAGAAAATAGCCTTTTGCATTTAGGTGTCTAACAGTTTTTATAACTTAAGAATTTGCTAGGGCATATATAATAAAAAGTCTGATCTAAGTGGTAATTTAGCTTCAGATTATTCCAAATCATATGCTTCTACCTCACCTCAAGTTATCCTAAGATGTCCCTTCCTTATTGCTTAATCCCGAGAGGCAAAGTGATGGCCAAAATAGGTATTTCATGATGCAGGGTACCTAGAGGTCTGACTATTCCCAAACAGTTTAGGATTCAATAAGCAGACTGAAGCCTGTTTAGGAAAGTGCTCTTTAAAAGACTGTCCAATTGAACTTTTCTCTGTATGGATACTTCAGTATCAAATACTCCCAGTCTTGGTACTCAGTGTGCCCTGGGGTCTCTAGTTTGTCTGCTCTGTGTTGGACACTCAGGCACTATTTTCACATCTGCACAGAGGACAGACTATGGAAGGTGCCTTTATTGATATTCAGTGTTTCTCAGCTCAATAACTATGGGGGACTATGGTGATGAATTGTCTGAATGCTGAAGAGCTGCTTCTCTAGGTCCATGGGTCAGGTAGGTAGTTTTCCCATTATCTAGAGAAGCATCCTTTCAGCATTGCACCTGCTAGAAGTGAGATGTTTGTCATGCTCTGAATTTTTGTTTGAAATGTTTCTGCAGAAATTAATCCCTTTTAGAAAAGTCTTAAAAACCAGTGAGTTTAAAGCCAAAGGCCAGTAATACAGAGCAGCTCACATGCTACGTGTTTTTCTAAGAAATCAGGAAAACAAAAGAGAAATGAAGAAATATCACTTACTCCCTTGGCAAACAAAATGTACCCTAAAGTGGTGCTCCCCACTACACGGTGGAAGATGGCAGATGCTGTGGTCCTCCATCTTGTGGAGCCTTAGGGAGGAGCCAACGGGAACACAGAGTGAATGAGGGGGTTCAGAAACCAAAGCTGGCAAAAGAGGACCATGCTGAACTCAGTTGATAGCATCCAAGAAACGCAAGAAGAAATTAGGGCTAGTTCACTCTAACTTATTCCATCATCGTTTTGCTAGAACGCTAACCTGAGCTTAAACACCTGGCAAAACTGAGCTTACTTCTTCATCTGTATTTGAATTCTAGAAATGGGTGTCCCCCAGTTCTCCCGTGACATTCTCTGAGAAAGATTAGATTTCTAAACATCTTCAAATGATGGATGTACAAATAACCCTTATGTCCTGTAACACAGTTTTACCTACAAAACGAAATAGGATTAAGTCAAGATCTTGATACATTATTACATTAAAATGCCTTAGAGCTCACAGTAAACCTAGGTATTTTAAATACTTCCTATTAATTTCTTTCTCCAGAATCACCGGGCATCTGATAGGGCCTGTCGCTGTGCTGGGTGCTGTGAGAATATGGATTCAGCATTGATTAGCCAACCCCAGCTCTGCCACTCATTGGTTATGTATGCTAGGGAATATTCACCACTGTGTTTTCAAAACTTTGAAAACATCAAAAACATCTAATAGTCCAACAGTAGATGGATGATTAAGCAAATCATGGTGTGGCTATAACACCGAAGAAATTTTTTTCAGCCAGTACTAGGATTTGAACTTGAGGCCTTGTGCTTGCTAGGTAGGTGCTTTACCACTTCAGCCATTCCACAGCCCCAGAATGATTTTATAGGCACTAAAAATTATAGGGTCTTTTATTGTTGTGCTGAGTGGGAGTACATTGTGGCAATTCCAAAAGTATCAAATATATCATACTTGAATTCACCCCCTCCATCATTCTCCTTTATCTCCCCCAAAAATTATGTTTTAGAAAAGAACTTTAAATAACATGGAAAAATACTTCTGTTAGCTGAATAAGCAGAATATGAAGCTATACATCTGAGGAGCTAAATGGATGGAGAAGACATTAAATGCAATACTCCAAAATATAAATGGCTGCTACTTGGAGTAGTAGAGTGATAGATCACTGTTATTTCTTTTATTACTTTCCTGTAATAAACACAATTGTTACAGTGGTGGATGGCACACACCTATAATCCCTGTGGTTGGGAGATGAAAGCAGGAACATAATGAGTTCAAGGCCAGCCTGGGCTACATAGAGAGACACCCCCCCCCCAATCTCAAAAGCAAAACAGGCAAAGAAACAAAACACGATTGCATTTATCAGAATTTGATGTGATTTTATTTAAGTTCAGATTTTTATAAATTTAACCTGCTATAGGCATAAAAATGCAAGTTCCAGTTTTATTCTAGTGAAGAACTAGCTTTTAAATAGGAGCTCATGGTCTCTCCATGAATAAAGCCTGTGAGTTTATAGAAGTGCAATTTTTGGCATTTGTTTGTTTATTTATTTTGCAGTGCTGGCAGTCAAAGCACTCTAAGCATATGCTCTACTATTGCGCTCTACCCCCAGCCCTAAGTTTAGTATTTAATTGCTCAGAATTCTTTTGCTTATTTTCTGGCTTTGAGTCATATCCTGGTTAACTGACTTAAATGGTAAAATTGAGCCCTTGCTAGTTAAAGTGGAATGAAATTAAAAGCATCACAGAGACAACCAGGCCACTTTCCCTTCCAGGACCTGTTCTTGAAAGCAGTGGAGAAGCAAGGTCCAAAAGAAGAACTTGCTTGCCGGCACCAGGCCCCAACACCAGCAATATCAGCTTGTGGAACATCCTGCGAAACAACATAGGCAAGGACCTGTCCAAAGTGGCTATGCCTGTGGAGCTGAATGAGCCCCTGAACACGCTGCAGAGGCTCTGTGAGGAGCTGGAGTACAGTGAGCTACTGGACAAGGCCGCACAGATCCCCAGCCCCCTGGAAAGGATGGTAAGGACCCAGCTCTTTGCCACGTCGCTGTCCAGCCTCTGTCCTGAGCCACATGGTGGTTCACCTGAGCCCACCAGAACCCAGGTGGGCAGACATACTGTTCAGTTCTCATTTTGTGCTCCTTAGAGAGCATCGTTTCTCAGAGATGTCTGGTTCCCCTCCAGTCACCTTGTCGGGATCTGGCAGCTGGGGCTGGGGGCGTTCTGTTCTGTGATTTTGTGTTTCCTCTTTCTCTAGAAGCTTCCATCCGATGGTGTGATAGGCCTGGCTGGAAAACATGACCTTAGGACTGTCTGCATGTTTATTTTTACTACCCTGAGTGGACAGAATTTTAATTTCTTAAGCTGTTTTTCTCATCCTGAATAAATTTCCCTTGAGAATGTTTTTATTTCTGGAGTTGTCCCATTAGTTCCTAGGATTTTGGAAAAAATCATTCAAAGAGGAGGTTTTTACATCAGGAAGATTCCCCTTTTTCTCCTCTTGTTATAGACAATAAGTTTATAAAAACAAAACTTGCTCTCCAAACTGTTGAAGAATTTTATTATGAAAACCATTCATTTGGTTTCTAATATGTGACCTGGTAAACCATAATGTCCTTGTCTGCATGGGGAGCTGGGACTTCGGTGTCCCCCAAATGCAGACTTTCTCCTGAGCATTCGCTAGTTAACTACATTGGAATTGTTGTGCAACCCCCCCACCCCCCGGCCTTGGTTTCACAGACCTAGAGAGCCAACAACCTCCCTTTGTTAGGGGACACAGACTTTTTAAAAATGCTACACATTCTGCAGTTTTCACCCTCATAAAAACTTCATTACTTCAGGGATTTGAAAATTAAGCCCGAGAGAGACATCCAACCCCAGTTGGTCTCCTGGCCTCCCGTCAAACAGACTTACTTTCTTGATACTAATGATAATAAGGACAGGACAGAAAAACAAGCTTGTTTTTTGGTTTTTTTTTAATCTTCTTTGTTACTTTTCCCCCAGAGAATTTCTGCTGAAGAAAGGGAGGCAAATAGCTTCTAAGGGAAGTCAACATGTTAAAAGTCAACATGTGTGGGCAGCTCTCTTTAAAGAAAATGATTGACTTTGAACATGAAAGTGTCCTCAGAGGTGTTTCATTCTACGGCAGTTTAGAGATCCTTAGGATGCTCACCGTGCTCTGATTGATCCACGTGACTGACCTTGAGCAGAAGTTTGAGGCCAGCCTTCACAGGCACTGCGTGGAAGCATTTCCTTTACTCCTGTGTAGGTTCTCTGTTGTGTCACCAAGCCATAATGAGGTGCTTCATTTTGCTCTCTTGCTAACTCCCTCTTCCCCCAGCATCAGGAATGAATTCTGGTTTCAACTTCAAAGGAGATTCAGGGCTATTCAGCATTCCATGTAGGCATTTTGAGCTTACTGTTTCATATGTCATAAACTGAGGAAGCAGAAAGAGGATTGTGTGCCCAGGTTCAAAAACACATGCAGTCACAGATGAGATTGACCCAATTAGAGTGAATTGACTTTCTTTTTCCTTAGATGGTGCTGGGGATGGAACCCAGGGCCTTGCACATGGTAGATAAGCACTCTACCATTGAGCTGCATCCCCAGCCCACAATTTTTTTTTTTTGATGGGACTGGGGTTTGAACTCAGGACTTTACTCTTGCAAAGCCGGTGCTCTATCACTTGAGCCACACCTTCAGTCCATTTTGCTCTAGTTATTTTGGAGATGGGGTCTCACCCACTAGTTGGCTGGCCTTGAACCATGATCCTTCTGATCGCAGCCTCCCAAGTAGCTAGAATTACAGACATGGGTCACTGGTGCCCTGCCAGAATTGATTTTTATAAACTGTCTGATAGCTCTCAAGCAGTCTTCAGTGTGGGATGGCAAGGTGGGTCCTATTACAGGCAGCACTCAAACATTCTCGAAAGGCTAATAAGGAAGGTTATGTGACTAGAGGGCACTTAGCTTTTCCTCAGTATAAGAAACTTCATGAAATGTGCAAGAAGAAATGTTGAGATCATTATGACTCACTATTAGAAAAGAAAATTTGCTGTTGCTACTTAGATTTAACATTTTTAGCCAAAAAAGATGACAATGGCAGAAAAGGTAAATGCTTACCATGAGGCCATTAAAAGATTTTCCTCATTTTACATTCACATAGTTTTCCTCCTCCTCCTCTTCTTCTTTCTTGTGTGTGTGTGTTTTCATTTTTCCTCCCAGAAAAGCAGAACTTTAAAGTCACTGTGTCTAGTAAATTTTTTTTTCTCAGTCAGAAAATGACTTTCACAGATTTTCTTTGGTCAAAATGACTTTTTAGATTTCTACTTTTTAGGCTTTGTGAATGGTTCAACATCTGATGCTTACTCCTGTTGTTTTTTTTTGTTTGTTTTTTGTCTTTTGGTTTTTTTTTGGTGGCACTGGGGTTTGAACTCAGGGCTTCATGTTTGTTCGGCAGGTGCTCTACCACTTGAGCCACTCTGCCAGCTCCCTGATGCTTACTTCTGAATTGGGGGAAATTTGCTTTCTTCTTTCTCTCCTCCCTGAAACCATGATGTCAGGAGTTCCAGATAATGTCAGGCTGAAAGAGACCAGATGCAGCTGAACATGTGGTTGATTTTATGAATGCTTTTAGACATCAGAATAAACGGACAGTTTTAAAATGTATGACGGACTTATGTCTGTGTTTTATTAGTCAGAGTTTTTGTTGTTGTAACAAAATCCCTGACAGAACAGTTTAAATGGAGGAGTTATTTATTTTGACTCATTGTTTCAGAGGTTTTAGTCCCATAGTCCTTGGCTGTCTTGATTCTGGGTCCATAGTGAGGCAGAACATCGTGGTGGTAGGCGCATGTGGCAGAGAATACTCATCTCATAGTGGTCAGGAAGCAGAGAGAGACACAGCAAAGAGCCAAAGACAAGAGTCAACCCCCGAGGACATGGCCCCAGTGACTAACTTCCTCCAACTAGGCCCCACCTCTTAAGGTTTCCAGAAACTCCCACAAGAGAGCCACCATCTGGGGATCAAGCCTTCAATAATGAGCCTATGGGGAACATTTCATATTCAAACTATAACACTGAGCCAAAATGAACATTATTTAAACCTACAACTTCAGTTTTCTTTAAGCTCAAGGCAAATTTTTGGCTTTCTGAAATAAAACTATAGAAAGATAAATTGAGGTTTTATTTTATTTCTTGTGAAAAATAAATTTCTTGATGACACAGAAATAACAGGATTCTTTCCTTCTCATCCTCAGGTATACATGGCAGCCTTTGCTATATCTGCATATGCGTCGAGCTACTTCCGAGCTGGGAGCAAGCCATTTAATCCTGTCCTTGGAGAGACGTACGAGTGTATTCGAGAGGACAAGGGCTTCCGGTTTTTTGCAGAACAGGTGGATGTGCGCCGTTTGTGTTTGTTGGGAGGAGTTGCTTATGCCTGCCACTAAATGTGCTGCTAAAATATTTATTTTCCCCCTTTCACTGGCTTCAAAGAACTGAGATAATTACAGTGCTTGGAAATATAAAGCCTGGGGTCCATTTTCCTGCCACTGAAACCTGGCACCACCCATGGGTACAAAGGCACCAGGATTCCAAGCACTTGCTTGGCTACATGCATTAACAGTGTTTTTTTCTTTAGAATCATTAGCAAAAGGAATTGTCAGAGCGTGAAGAATTTGCCCTGAGTGTAACTTAGAGGATGAAAGTGTGCCCAAAGTATTGACCTTGTCATTCTAGAGCCTGACGCTTCCTCAAAATGAGTAGCACCAAGACAGTGCACTGTTCTCTATTTTGATTTGGGAGGAATCATTCATTCATGTATTTATTCATTAAAGTCAACAGGTCATTTGTCGCATGTGTACCACGTACCTGACATTGTTCCAGATGCTAAGGTACTACAGTGGGGTGGAAGGCTAGGGCACCAGCAGGAATCTCTGCCCTTTATTTGGGAAGAGGAAGGGAATCAGTGAGAAGGGGGAGGGCGGACAAGAGAGGCAATGGGGTGGTGATGAAATATGATCGAAATACATTATATGCATGTATGAACATGTCATAATGAAACCCATTATTTTGTACAATTAATATATGCTAAAAAGGAAAAAAAAAGGTGGCAGGGGATTCAAGCAGTGAGGAATTTTAAAAGGTCCACATCTGTTGTGTTGTTAAAAGGTTCTCAGTCCAGGCCGGGTGTAGTGGTACACACCATAACCCCAGCTACTTGGGAGGCAGAAATAGGAGGATCACAGACCCAAGACAGGCGGCAGAGTTAGCTTGAGATCACAGACCCAAGACAGCACAGAGTTAGCTTGAGATCTTATCTGAAAGAGACTAAAAGCTAAAGAAAAGAGCATGGCTCAAGTTGTAGAGTGCTTGCCTAGCAAGTGCAAGGCCCTGAGTTCAATCCCAAGTTCTCTCCTCCAAAAAAAGAAGTTCAGGGAAGTTGTCCTTTCCTAAAATGGGACTTAGGAGACCATAAACATTTCTCAAGATTCTGTAAAACATTCATAGCAGAGTGTTGGAGAAGAATAAACGCAGAGGGATAAGAGGTGACTTCTTGGTGATGGAATCATTGTATATTATGATTGGGCAGGGGTCATACAGATGTATACATTTGTCAGGAATCAGCACACATATTTAAATTTTGTGTATGTAAATTACACTTCAATAAAGTTGTTTTCTAAAAACTTTTTTTTTTAAAAAAAAGAATCCCTCATCTAATGGATAGCATCACTTACACGCCTACGTTTGAGGTTCCATTAGATTCTTCCCATAGGAATTAGCATAGATGAATATTCGAGAGTCAAACAGCCAGCATTCAAATCTCAGCTCTACCTCCTACCAGCTGCATAACCCAGGGCACCTTACTTAGCTTTTCTGTACCTTAGTGTCCTTTTTAAAGTAGTGGTGGCAGTGCTTGTTCAGGTCTCATGCGGCTTTGTGATGGTTGAAGGACTGTCTTCAAAGCATCTCTAGCAGGGTCTGATACCTGAGGGGTAAGTGTTCTGTGCATGATTCCTGTCATTGATGTGCAATAGCAAAATGTTGGGAACATCCAGAGTGTTTGCTGACAGGGAAATATTAAAGTAGAGTGCAAACAGTTAGAAAATAAAAAATACAGCCCTGCCTCTCTTTGTTCATCCTTGATTGAGCTCATTGCCCTCTGTATATCCCTAAATGTAACCTGAGGAATACTGAACATCATCGCTTTGGTACATTTCTCTCTTCCCACTTAGAAAATGGAGGAAAAAGAGAGGGTGGCTTGCTGAAGTATTCTTTCCCTCTGGTTACCTTGCTGCCTTCTCTATCAGTGGATTTGCATTAGGGGGATTAAAGGAGATGAGGGTGTGGCCGGCCAGGAGATTTATGAAGATGGTGCTTGTCTTAACTGGAAGTGACAAACATTGTTTTCTGAAGTTCAGAGGAAAATGAGTCTACAAAAAATCCCAAAGCATGTTATTGGTAGCTTCCCAGTTAGGAGCTAAAGTGAGACACAAAACATTAGGGAGATGGGGAGTAAACTCAGTAGTTAAGGGATTAGATAATCTGCCTGATTTAAATTCAACTGGGTTATTTAAATACTGAACCTAAAATGGAATGAGAATAAATGAAAATATAATTTGGTTACCATGGTATTATATGTATTCTTGTGGAAAAAAAAAAGAAAGGCCCAAAATAGCCCCAAACTATAGCCAACAGTAGGAAAGGGTGGACAAGAAGAGTAGTGACATGAGCTTGTGTAAAGTTGAGCCCCGACAGGGAGGGGCCAAAGGCAGGACCTCCCGTTGCATCTGCTGTGATGGCTCCAGGTGGGGACCGGAGCCCCTGCTTTCACACGTAGCTGGAGAGAATATCATACACTTAGCCTTTAGTTCCACAAACTGGATCCCAAGGAAATAAGCTAGAAAGAAATGCAGTCATTGTCAGTAGCAAAGAATCTGCTGGCTGTAGAATTTGTAGACCTGCTTGCTTCAAACTCCTCCAGGTACTGTGCATTTGGCCTCATATAAACTAAACTTTCTGAGCACTGTGTTGGCTTAGAGGTTGTGATAAGGCTGAAGTGAGTACACTGACAATAATATACTTCAGTAAAAAAAAAAAATACACAGTAAGTGGTTATTTCTCTTATATTTAGAGGAAACTCTGTGTGTGTGTGTGTGTGTGTGTGTGTGTTTTGCTGGTGATCAAACCCAGGGCCTTGCACATAGTAGGCAAGTGCTCTGCCACTGAGCTACATCCCCAAGTATAAAGAGAACTTTTTAAGTGCCTTTAAATATAGAGCATTAAAAATAGTAAGAGGAGTGTTGAAAGGCAGAAGGTAAAATAAGATATGGTATATCTACTCTACAAAAGAATGTCGCTGATGAGACCAAAAAGCCAGGAGTCCTCATGGCTGGCTTCATCATGGTAATTACCACCAGTCCTGATCATGGTGGAGCCACCTTGTGGGTCTGGAATTTAGTGTTATGGCCTCAGAGAGTTGGTTCTTTTAGTAAAAGTGGATAGATTCATACTAGGTAAGTTTATAAGAGAATGATGTATAAACTAGAATGCTACCAGTATGTATATGTGTATGTGTATAGATATATGTACATGTATATATATGTGTGTGTATATATACATATATGTACATCCATATGCATGTGTATACATACTAGTAGCATTCTAGTATTTTATATACATATACATATTTTTGAGATTTTGGGACAGGGTCTTGCTGTGTAGCCCAGTCTGGTCTCCACCTCATTCCCCCAAGTGCTGGGATTACAGGTGTGTACCATAACATTGGGCAAGAATTCTACTACTATATATGCATTTACTGTGGAAAAAAACCTGCCACGGGGACCAGAAAGCTTTAGCCAGAGTGACCAGAAATGCTTTCCCTATTAGCCAGTTACTTGGGCAATTAAATTGTAATTATAGGTGAGTGTACAATGAGAAGAAGCTGTGGCTGCCTGCGGCCCATCTGACTCATTGTCCATGAATGCCTCCTAATGTGACAGGTCTAAGGGGAGGGCCAGAGCACTCATTTGTTTTGTGCAGGTCTTGCCAGGATGACTCTTCTGTTTGAGACAGCATGACTCTGCTCTTGTCTGTTATGTGTAGGTGATAAACCTTCAGGGTTTATCCTCTGTCTCTCTATACAAGTACAGGCTTCTGAAGATCAAATGTGATAAACTAAGCCAGGCCCCTAAACTATATGTTTTGTGAAATTTTATTCTAAGAAAAACATTGATAGAAATCATATCTGAAGAAGCAACTTGGCTCTTTATTGCGTTTTCTAGATAACAGAGTCTTTAGTTTTAAAAGTAACAGCTCTCTCTTTCTTCCCAGCCCTGAGATTTCCTCGCTTTGTGGTTTTGGTGAGTGTGTGGATATTTGAGGTGGCGAGTGTCCCAGAAGTGAAGTCATTTCTGCCTCAGAGAATTTGGCTACATCAAAGCTTGTTTCCCTATTTTGTTTCTATCTAAAAGACATAATAACACAATATCAAAATGTTATTGTGGTCAGTAACCAGAGAAAGCATTTCTTGTTCAGCTTTTTTTCATCACAATTAAGTAGTTTATAGGAGTGGTTTATGCTTCCAAACAAGTATGTGACCATTTTTGTTCCCCACACTGCCCTGTGTGGTAGGCCAGGTGAGGATCAGCTACAGGTGCAGAGAAGGTCTGGAGGATTAGAGTTTCCACTGCCCACAGCTAATGCTTCACCCAGGCCCCCATTTCCACTCCAGTGACCTTTCTCCTAAACTTTTTTGGGGTCTCTTTTGTAGAGTTGGTTACTGTGTTCGGAAGTGCAGGAGTTGTTGGCTATGGATATGAAATAGCCTTTTTGTACACTGTTCTGTGAATGGGATTTTGCTTTTCATTGTCACTAAATCCTTTAATCCTCCAAATTCATGAAGAACTTGTTTTCATCTCCCCATGTGGGCTGGGGTGTGGCCTTTGTGAAGGAGAGAGACATTCCAGAGTGCCTCTCCAGAGGGAAAGGCCTTCCTATCTTCCCTTGCTGGGCAGGCACTGAGCATCTGTTGAGGTGATTCCTTGTGCCCTCTCCCTCTGCCTGTGGAGTCAAACACTGGCTATAAGCTTCTTCCAAGGTATGAATGGGTTAGGGAAGTCGTTTCAGTTGCTTGTTTTGTACCTGTGAGAAAGACTTGGCTTGGAAAGGATGTGCAATCAAGCTGTTATCTACAAATAGCTTTTCCTGTTTACATGGGACTTCAGGTATCCCCATCATTACTCAAGTAATTTTAACCAAGTAGCCACCCAGAAAAGCTGAATGCAGCTATTAAAAGTTCCTAAAATGTGAGTGAGTCAAGTGAAGTCAAGGAGGGGCTCAGGACTCCCTGCCTTTCTGTTATTCACTTGGAGAATTCCGGACATATATTCTTGGC